ACTTTCAGCTAGGGGCACTGCCATACTACAGAGACAGAACAATGAAACGTTCTTATAAACCAGCATCTTTATGAGCCATAGATGAGTCATTCCTAGCAGAAAAGCCCTGAGCAATCTCCAAAGTAGCGCATGAGGATGGGATTGTTGTGCCAAAAGCAATGACTCTATACCCCTTCAGGTTAAACATTGCAGTGCTCTGTCTACAGTATGTTCCCACATGCATGTTGTATACCTTTACATAGCAAAAGTGCTAACATAACTCAGTCTTACTATCTAACATTAAACAGTAGGTCCTTTGTTTGCAAGTCATAATCTTAATGCACAATATCGATAGGCCATTTTGTCTGAGCTAATTCATTGCAACTTTTCCCCCCCCCCATCATCATTTATTATTATAGACTGATACACCTTATGAACTGACACTCACTTTTTACAACTGAGCTCACAATTCAGGTACTTTTGTAGACTCAGCCATCAGAACACACATCTTCTCAACTAAAGACAAAAAAATGAAAGGCTCATAAAATACTTCAGGAAGTTATTGTTGCAAGATTAAGCAAGCCTAAAAGGGGAGTTGGCAAACCAAGCCAAGGCATTTCTCCATATTTCCAAGTGAAACTCAAAGATTATGATTCCTAACATGATTTGATATTTCTACTAATTCTAACAGAAGAAATTCAGAACAAATAAGAGGTGGCATTTACATTAGTCGTAGATGATATTTTTCATCCTCTCAGGAATTATACACTGAGATCCCAATTCAGCAAAACATTTCAGACCATCTCTATTTATTAAAGCTTTAAAACCCTTGCTTAACATTAATCACATGCTTGAGCCCCATCAACATCAGTGGGATAACATATGCTTAAAGGCAAGATCAGGCTAAAGCACTTTTCTGACTAGGCATGAACAGTTGTATCAGGACTTGAATGAGGCTTCTGTATTATAAAAGTAAAACAAATGTGTCTTAAAAAGCACCTCCGCCTGAAAACTGCTCCTGCTAGCAAACTCCTGCAGCCGTGTTTTGAAAATCTAGCCCCTATCTGTTTCATGTTACCCTGTGGTTAGTTTAAAATCTCTGTGGTCTTTGTGGTGATGACGACTATGTAAGTGAAAGGAGGCACTGTTATTCTGTCTTGTGTGTACTTACTGTTCCTTTAAACAGAGTCTTTCTGACTCAGGAAGAGCAGCTGCCCTTTTCTGTGTTTCATTTCAGATGCAGATTCACTGTTCTCTCACTTGCTCACTCACATATGCACAGAGGGCCAGACTCTCAGGCAGTATGAGGCCAGGTCTACACTATGCCAGAAATTCGATTTAAGATATGCAACTCCAGCTATGAGAGTTGTGAAGCTGGAATCGACGTACCTTAAACTGAATTTCTGAGGTGGCCCCACTGCGGAAGGTCGATGGGAGAAACTATCTCATTGATTTCCCTTACTCCTTGTAACCTTGTTGACAGGGCACCATCTGCATTCGATTTAGCAGGTCCTTACAAGACCTGTTAAATCAAACCCCAGGAGTTTGCTCTCCGGAACATCAATCTCCAAGTAAGTATAGACAAGGCTTAAGTCAGTATAGTTCTGTCCATTGGAAGAGGTCAGTGAAGTGTCACCAATGGGCATCAGCTGAGGACCTGACTTGAATATGCTAGTTTGTTTTTTCTTTGTCTTAATCTGAAATAGAGATAATATAGACGGGAAAAAATACATATTATTTATTCCAATTATTCCTGTTTTGTGCCTTTTTGGTAACTCATAGTAGGAATAAACCTAGCTTAACCTGCTACTCAGAAATTCCCTCTGTGAAGGGGAAATCCCTGACTAGTATAGAACCACTGTATCAGCTCCACACCTCACTTGTAGCCTGTGATAGAGGAAGCATGTTGCAGAGCGGCTAAAAGAGCTACTACATCAGCTCCACACCTTCCTCTCATTTGTAGCATGGGACATAGAAAGCATGCTGCGGAGTGGCTGCCGAAAATGGGCTTAAACTACAGCAAGGGAGGTTTAGGTTGGACATTAGGAAAAATGTCCTAACTGTCAGAGTGGTTAAACCCTGGAATAAACTGCCTAGGCAGGTTGAGGAATCTCCACATCTGGAGAAATTTAAGAGCAGGTTGGATTGACATCTATCAGGGATGATCTAGATGGTGCTTGGTCCTGCCATGAGGGCAGGGGACTGGATTTGATCTCTCGAGGTCCCTTCCAGTTCTAGTGTTCTATGATTCTAACTTATGAAAAGAGGCATGCCAGGAGTGCTGTGGCTTGCCAACTATTCTTGTCTTTTGGCAGCCCGGTGTAGGTTAGAACAGCCCCGAGGATGCTCTAGTTTATACCAGTGATCAGTGGAATCCCTGGCTGGCCTTAGAATCTAGACGGCCACAGAGATAATACACAGACATTTGCTCCCATCCTAAACTATAGCTCAGAACTGGGGCTAGTACTTTTCAACTCAGATTCCCACTTCAGCACTATCTTGAACAACCTATTTGTCTTTTCTTTCATTGGCCGCCATCATTTTCTTTTAAACGGCTTTTTTAAAATTTAAAGCACAACTCGAAAGAGGCAAAGGATCAGTGTGCAGTAGTATTAGGTTCTGTCCTCAAAGTTGCCATGTTTCAAGCAAGAGCTGAAGTCACTTATGAAATTGCCAGAATGCCTTGTGTCCCAGAATAACAACTTAGTAGGGAATCTAAGGACCTCAGCAACAGCAACCAGGCATGTTTGTGATGAGGTGGCTTCCAGTTTCAACCACATACATGACAGCAACATAGTAGTTTCGATTGGAGGGGAATTAGTGGACCGGTTTTGGAAGTGGTTATGTTAAGAGGCCTGTACAGGCTGCCCCCGACTTGCAATGCTGATCAGCTTCAGGGATAGCATCGCAAGTTGGGGGCATCGTAACTTGAGCCTGCATTTACGACAGGCGTTCGCTGCTGTAAATGCGGGGCTGAGGACGTAAGTCGGGGGATTTCAGCCCCTTCCACACTTATGGAAAAGGTCATAAGTGCCGGGGGTCGTAAATTGGGCCATCGTAAAGCGGAGGCCTCCTATACCAGTTAACTGGTTCCTTTCAGATTCTATTGCTGTATTTTTCTGAGTGGTTTCTATCAATTTTGTTGCAATAAATCAAACACCCGTCAATCCACTTCTCAAAGCATCCACAGAGTCCAATCTGAGAAGTGCTGAACACCTGTTGCAAGGTTTTGACCACCATCTGCTCCCAGGGCTCAGCACCTTGCAGAAGGCAATCAGCCTTGCACAGGATTTGCCCCAACTGAAAGCAAAAGAAAGAGCGAGAAACACGGAATAAAGGAAGTTGGTCTTTGTATAAAGCTTTATTTTGGATGTAAAAGGCAGTAGCAGCAGGTTTCCACTTAGTAGCAGTTCCTTCTACTAGTATTTGGCACATCTTGCAGCGGCTCTGAGGGAATCTCTGCCCTTCAGTGGGAGTTTCATGGATGGCTCAAGACTTTCAGACATGATGATGATGATGAAAGATGAAACAAGATTTTAAAACAAGACTACTAAAATTAGATTTAAAATTGAGACATTTGAAAAAATGGCCCTAGGAGTGCTCAGTATTTTCTGGTCATCAGGCTCCTTTAAGGTGTCTCAGGGTAGGCACCCAGAAGTCACTACTAATCTGTTAAAATCTTAGCCCTAGTGTATGTGAACAGGTAGGACCATATTCCCAAAGTCATCCTCTAAATCTGTTTCACTCAAAAATGCATGCTCCACCCTCTTCCCCCCCCCCTTTTTTTTATACTCCTGGATGTGTTTGGCTGCTGGCATCCCATAAGATGGGGTGGGCAATCATTTTTGAAGGGGGGGCCACTTCAAAAGTTTTCAAAGTTGTTGCAGGCTGCCCGGGAAGGGGCAGGGCCTCAAGTAGAAGAGGCAGGGCTTTTAAATAGAAACAAGTGAAAGGGCTCGTGCCTCCCATGTGGCTCCCAATGGTGGGGCCAGGAGCTGCGAGCCCTTTCAGTTGCTTCTATTTAAAGAGCTCGCACATAAGCAGCCACTGGAAGGCACAAGCCCTTTAAACAGAAACATCTGAAAGGGATCACAGCTCCTGGCCCCTTAACACGTTGCCTGGCAGCCTACTAGTAGGTGCGAACCCTTTAAATAGACTCAAGCGAAAGGGCTGGCATCTCCCCAGCAGCTCCCAGGCGATGCACTAGCAGCAGGGCCAGGAGCTGTGAGCCCCTTCAATCACTACGATTTAAAGGGCTTGTGCCTTCCCCACCACTGCTAACACATTACCTGGTAGCAGCCACGTGGACGGCACAAGCCCTTTAAATAGAAGTAGTTGAAAGGGCTCACTCATCCCCAGCTCCCAGGCAACGCATTAGGGGGTGGGCCAGGATCTGTGTGTGGGCTGGATCAAATAGGTTCCTACCATAGGAAAATGCATGAGATGGCAGAGATGGTGAAGCTATGTTTTTGCACCCAGGATATCTAACAGATTGACTAAAACACTGGGACAAGGACAGTGGTTGATAGCTCAGCTCCTCAGCTCGAGTAACTTTTTAGCTTCAGCATGAAGCTCATTTGTGCAGGAGACAGAACTTTCTTGGTGGCCAGCCCTTGACCATGGAAGAAACTCCCCTAGGAACGTGGCACCATCACATACCTCACTTCCTTCCACTCCAAGTGAAAGGCACATTGCTTTGAGCTTGCCTTTGCCAGCAAACAGAGCTACAAGTGTCTATAAACATAATATAAAAAATTTGAAAAACACCCTCACAACTCACACTTCTCCAGGTCAGGGGGGAGCAAGGAGGAAAAAACAAACCCCAAACATCACATTGCTGAATGCGGCACTGGAAGTTGCTCAGCTCTTTGCTGATGTGCCAAGTAGAAGGATATCTATAGATGAGAATGCCAGAGGGGTTCTGATGAAGCATTATCTCTTATTCTTTTGGCTATCCAAGCATGGCATTACACGTTCAGCCCCAGAAGGGCAGGCACTGCTTTGCTTTTTGTATTTCACAGCCATCCAGTGGATCATTTGTTACCTTACACGGAGTTTGGAAACTCTGAAGTGCAGCCATCAGAGGGCAGAAGTGGTGTCACTGATGTTCCGCTCTAATCAAGGAATCAGCTGTAATGCTCCGACTCTGAAAATGATGGCTAACAGAAAAATGGGCACCCATGTCAGGTCAGGGTCTCAGCCCCTTGGGCACAGCTCCAACCAAGAGCAGCTGAAAAGTGCCAAGCTATAGTTGAAATTCAAGCCTGCTACTGGATAACAAGGCTGCTTTTCTTTTCCACCCTGTCCTCACCGACTCAGGTGCTGAAAATGCCACCAGAGCCTCATGACCTGCTGCTACGGAGGGAGCTACTAGACGAGTCCTACAAGAATAACACTGGTGAGAGCTACCACCACTGAGCCAGGAGATACTTCAGAGGGAGCCAACCCAGGGGAGAAAGGAGTTGGAAAGAGACAGCCAGAATGAGAACCCCCCTATTAGGGCTGCTCAGAGCAGGAGGAATAGTTGTTGGGATTGCCACCACGGCCAGTGTCCCATTGACATCAAAGGAACCATGTACAGTCTTAATGGTACAACACTTACATAAGCATTTGCAGGTTTGAGACCCTCAAAACCAATGCCTTACCTTGCTGCCCTATAAATCCCTGTACAAGTCTGGCAGGTTTCCCTTTAGACCAATTCAGCTATTTCAAGACTTGACTGTAGTTACCATTTACCTAGTCCAGAAGGGAGAGAGAGAGAAAAATCATACCAATCCCGCCCCACCCCCAGCACACAGCCACATAGCTAGTGACCATTAATGATCTTTTTATACAAAATTAGAATCAAATACCTCCTGGAGTAATTCTTTAATTCAGGGATCTTGCCAACCTTCAGGGTTTGTTCCATTTGGAAATATAATGCAAAATGCGTGAAAGGAAAAATTAAACAAGATTTAGGTCTACTTTTAGGGGGTTTCCTAGAACATATGCCTAGGTCAACTTGAGCTTTCTGTGCTTTTGAGTGGTTTCACTTACATTATGCCACCAAACAATATCAGGCACTTTTGTGCTGCTCCCATTTCTCCATAATAGTCACTGCTTTGTCATGTTATATATTGCCTTTCATGCAGCTTTAAAATGAGCATTAGTCTCTTTGTAATGCTATTTTACTAGGTTAAATTTGGTGAATTCTAGTGATCATAAAACAGTCATCCCTATATGGTCTAGGCATCCCTTGAATACTTCTCCTAATGCAAGCAGAACCTCATATAACAATAGTGTGTGAGCTCTTTCAAGTAGAGGCTACATCTAGCTCACCTGGGATTAAAGCCATTCTTGAAGCCTCTATGCCCCATGCCTCTTAGTTTATTTGCCTGTTAGTTCACAATGGGGAGAAATCATTAAGATCTGCTCATACAAGGAAACAGAGAGAATTTTCCTGGACTCAATACAACCATACCACTTGCAGTGATCACTTATCCATTTTGACTTTGGTATGTACACTTACATCACAGCTCCTAGGTGGAGGAGCCAGCGGGCTTTGCACACTGCCCCTGCCTGAAGACACCGCCCCCACAGCTCCCATTAGGTTCAGTTTCTGGCCAATGGCAACTGTGGAGCCATAGCTCATGGTGTGGTAACATAAGGAGCCTTCCTGGCCTTTCCTCCCCCTAGAAGCTTCAGGGACACATGGACCTGGATAGGTATCCTGTCAGCCCTGCCAACACTCCTGGTTCTGGACCACATGACACTGTTTGTCCCCTCAGCACTACCAGTTCCTGGACCAAATGCCAGAGCTCAAACCACCCCAAGATCACTCTTGCCTCCTCAACCCGCCAGCCCCAGCCACCTCTGGCCTGTTGACTCAACTTTTAGTTAGGTATATATAATACAAATGGAAAAGTCATGGACCGTGGCTTTTGTTTACTGCTGATGACCATCCATGACTTGTACTAAAAATACCTGTGACCAAATGTAGCCTTAGCTATGAGGGCAGATTGAAAATATTGGGTTTGTTTAGTTTGGAAAAAAGGAGTGAGAGGGGATGTGATAATTTTCAAGTACATAAAAAGTTGTTAGAAGGAGGAGAATGAAAAAACTCTTCTTCTTAACCTCTGAGGATGGAACATGAAGCAATTGCAACAAGGGAGGTTTAGGCTGGACAGTAGAAAAAAAATACTTAATTGCCAGGGTGGTTAAGCACTCGAATAAATTGCTTAGGGAGATTGTGGAATTGCCATCATTGGAAATTTTTAAGAGCAAGTTAGACAACATCTGTAAGGTATGGTCTAGAAAATCATAGAATAGTAGAACTGGAAGGGATCTTGAGAGGTCATCAAGTCCAGTTCCTTGTACTCATGGCAGGACCAAGCACCATCTAGATCATCCTCGACAGCTGTGTATCTAACCTGCTCTTAAGTATCTCCAATAACAGAGATTCCACAGCCTCCCTAGGCAATTTATTCTAGTGCTTAACTACCCTGACAGTTATGAAGTTTTTCCTAATGTCCGATCTAAACCTCCCTTGCTATAATTTGAGCCCATTGCTTCTTGTCCTGTCCTCAGAGGATAAGGATAATAATTTTTCTCCCTCCTCCTTGTAACAACCTTTTAGGTATTTACTCCTTCCATGAGCACAGGGAACTAGACCAAATGTCCTCTCATCTTGAGGTTCCTTCCAGGCCTGCGAGTCTGTGTGTGAAGGGAGATCTATTAGTTCTCAGATCTTGAAGGACATAGTGATCAGAAACTAACTGCAGATAGTATTTCCTTTTTTTAATAAAACCAGTTAATTTTAAATTGAAAAACATATTCTGATAATCTTTTTGTAAGATATCCATGCTATCTTTTAAGGTACTGGTATGTCATTAAAAAAACCCTAACATTGAAATGCTGTTTTTGTGCATTTTAAATTGAATTTAATTTCCATCCAAGCATGACTGACCAAAGTCACACATGAAAAATTAACATCTAATGAATAAAAAATGCATCATTTTCTCAATAAAATATAAAAATTAAAAATCAGAATAAATGTAGCTAAGATACATAATTCCTTGAACATGTGTGTGTTTAGTGTATCTTCAAGAAGCACCAAAGTTTGTGTAAAGGCTGTAGTCAATATGAACATGTGTGTGTTTAGTGTATCTTCCTGATTATCAAGAAGCACCAAAATTTGTGTAAAGGCTGTAGTCAATGTGTTTTAATGGTTACTGTTGAATAAGAATGAAAACGTACAAATGCAAAACACAAGTGAAATCAAAGTTTCCTGCTAGCTGATTTTAATCATGATTAAAGTAGGTAATTTAAATTGTGACTCCCAGTTCTTGGAGTAGTTCCTTTTTTGGGGGCAAAAAGGGAATCAAAACCCAGGCCTACCTGAACTAGGCCTCGTTTACTATTGCACCATTGAGCATTGGTCTGAGGGGTTTCTCATCCAAAAGTGCAGAGGAGGATTTGTCAGGATTAAGGAAAAGGTGGAGTGAGAGTGGCATTAGCTAATGCAGTTTAGCCAACCCTGACCTTTATGTACCCTTAGGACTACCTAAGATAGATCTCAACCAGCTACATTGAAATTAATTGTTGGCCTGAAACTGTGCTGGAGAAAATGGTAGAAGTCAGGTTGCAGTTAACTAATTATTGTAAAACTAATCTCAGCCTCTTTTCCTAATGTAGGAACATCCTCACATGCAGAAATCAAGACACCAAGACCAAGGCTATTGTAGCTAGACTAAGATTTTTCAGATCCAATAGTTACAGCTTCTGTTGGGCCAGACTAGGCTGCTGTGTCCAATAGTTACAGCTTCTGTTGGGCCAGCAAAGGCTGCTGTGTAGACAGGACTCTGGTTTTTTGTTTTTTTTTAATTGTTGGTTCTCTTTTGTTTTATGAAAGCACTATGTTGTCTGTGCTTCCCCCTCCCCAAAGTTGCACCTGTGGGGTATTATGGGTTCAGAAAATCAGTTTAGGCAAGGCAATGGGTCAGAAAGGAACTGGCTTCCTTGCTATATGGCAGAATATAACATGGTCTTACTAGAATTTCTCCAAATGGAATCAGATTTGTACAATGTACCATTCATTATCTGTGTTCAGGGTAAAGAGGAATAAAACTAAGCTAGGAGAAAAGACATGAGGAATTTCTGTGACTAATTGCTCCTCAGAAGGGAAACTAGCCAACACCAAATCAGCTACCTTCTTGGCAAAAGGAACTAAAATAATTTGTCTTTGGTTTGTTTTTGCTGAAGGAAGCCCAGGATTTTCCACTTCTCACACTATTGGAACTCGGTCAGTAGTTCAAAGGAATGAAAATCTCCAGAGAAGCATAGCACACTTCCTCCCAGCCATTATGAAACTGAATGGATATTTTTAAAAGAGCTAAGAAAATATTCCATTGCCTGGACTTCCGTATGCCTGAAAGCAGTCTCTCATGAGCCAGATACATGAAAGTTTCTCTTCCACTTCCTGGGAAATTCCCACAGAATTTCCCTTTTTGATCATGATTTAAAAAAAAATATAATATATGGATTGCAGACTACAAGGGTGGTTTTTCCTTCCCCTCTGTGTGTGTCTGGTCTAGTGACATTTGTTGAGGGGATTTTGTAGAATAACAGCTAATTTTAGCATTAAGCCTGTCTGAAAACTGAATAAATAATAAACTAAATAAAAAATGTTTATTAAATAAAAGAAAATGTAAAGAGTCACTCTTCAATCAAGGCATCTCAAGTAATCTACAAGCTAATTACAACCATTAGTAGCTGACAATCTGACTTTTTAAATAGCAAAATTGATAGAAATGTTCACAATTGCGATTAGTGGCTTATATAGGTAGTGTGTTTAGAGGCATCCCTTTTGGCATCTAAATACAATACCTGTATAACCAACTAATCCCAATGGTGAACGTTTCTACGCAACTTCAGCTATTTAAAAATGTCAAATTGCCAGCTTTGGGTTTGATGCTGCTCAGTCACACTCACGTAACTCTGGAGTAATTCCACTGACTCCAGTGTAGCTGCTTCAAACTTACGCTTTGGTGACTGAAAATATTTATCCCTAAAAATAAAAGGTTGTAAAGGAACACTATATATGGGGACAGAATTTGATTTCTCCACTTGGTTTCTCTACAAGGGTTTGCAATATTCATGTCATTCCCTCCTTAGCACCAGAACACCCCAACCCCTATACGTTTATATTTCTTCAATTAACTCCCCTCTGCAATACACATTAACATTAGCATCAATATATTAGCTCAACTTCACAACAACTAATCATTGTGCACACGGGATAGAGAAAGATACTCAAGTGAGGAAAAATAGTTTAATTCATAAAGATTTAAGAAGCTGTCATCAAATGTAATAAAAAGAAAATACAAAAAATAAAGATACCTCAGCTATGGTCTTGTTACCTTCAGACACAATACAGCTCTTACTATGTAAAAACTGCAGCAGGTGTGTAACTGGGCTTATGGGAATAAAGCACTTCTATTAACTTGAATGGGCATATTCAGGTCAGTAAAGCGTAAGGTGTTTGCTGAAGTGTTCATAGAATCTAGGCCAGTGTTTCTTAAACTGTGTTCCATGGCACACTGGTGTGCCGCGAGGCAGTTGGAGGTGTGCCGCAGAGAACAACAGAGTTCAAAATGGCCACCCTTAAAGAGGCAGGAGACCTTTTTTTTTGCTCAATAAATTCCCTCCCCCCCCAACCCTTTCACTTCCCCTCCCCCAACAAAAAATCCTTGGTGTGCCTCATAAAAAAATGGTTTGGTGTTCCTCAGGCTTAAAAAGTTTAAGAAACACTGATCTAGGCTTTCTTCAATAATTAGTCATATAGCACTTAAATCCAAGATCAGAACACACCTGAACTTTGGAATCCAGAACGCCACCCAAGAGCTGGTCTCTATTGCTGTAGTGAGCTGAACTAACATGCTGAACTTTACAGAAGTTTGGGTCTAGATCCTGACTTTGTGACATGGGCCTATTTCTACAGGTAACGAGGGTTGCCAGGTGTCTGGTTTTGAACTGTACAGTCCAGTATTTGAGATTTCTGTTCAGGAAACAAATTGAGAAAATAGAAGTGTCTGGTATTTTCTAAATAAGATGTAATATAATGTCAAGTATGTCTGGTATTTTTGTTGAAACCATCTGGCAACCCTACAGGTAACAGGCTAATAAAAGTTTTTTGTACACTCAACCCTTACTTTCATTCTTGTCTGCCACCTTATATGTGCCACTGATTGCACACAGCAACAGTCAACTTAGGTGGCAGAAATACCAAAAGGACAATTTATAGTTACTGGAAAAAACCGAGTATCCCAAGAGACATTCAGGATTGCAGCTAAGCGTATGACAACAGACAAGGGTTGAACAAAGACCTCCAGTTCAGGCATCCTGATTCAGTTTTCATCTATGCCAACTTGAAGAGCCAGCTACTGTTTGTCATGACACTTGTCACATAACTTCTTACTGTATATTTTAGAAATGTGACTTTGTCTGAGTCCGTTTGTTCAATAATTCCTCCTATACTATAAGAGCTAGGACCACCAAATCCAGCATGCAGCTTCCTTTTAACATAACTTAAAGTAAGGTGATGGTTTGGTTGTGCTAGGACAATAGGATGTGCCTAGAATTAAACTGTTTCTCATAAAATGGAAAGGGAAGGGTCTGATAGGGACAGTTATACTATGGAATAATGACATAAAATGGAAAGGGAAGGGTCTGGTAGGGACAGTTATACTGTGGAATAATGACAGGAGGCAGCAAGGGGCCAGTGATGGGGACCGGACAGCTATAATCCCTTTGGGCCAGCAGGGGACAGGGATGGAGAAAGGGACAGCTATTTATTATATATTTCAGAGAGTTTGTCTTTTTGTGTATCTATTTGCCTTTGTGTCTTTCTGTCACGCATCTAGGGGACATGCACCCCTTCCCCAGCTATGCCAGTTGCAGAGGCCATGAACAAATGCTTCTCACCTGGCCCCAAGTTGCTGTGGTGAGAGAGGGCTGGGGTAGTCCTCTCTCCCTGGGCAACCTGCATACTGAACCCCTCATCCCAGCCCCACCTCAGAGCAATGATTCAAATGAAGCATCTACATTTTCATTTTAGTTTCCAAAAAAAACCTAAAAAATGAATTGAGTTAAGGACCTGGGCAATGCCAGGTAAATCTTCAAGTATTAGCTAATTAAAAGTGGATCAAAATCTATGAGACACATTTTTTGAATGTAATTTGGATGACCAATCTATAGGTCTTTAATCACAGAAACTCTAGACATCAGTGATAGAAATGTAGCCGTGTTAGTCTGGTGTAGCTGAAACAAAAAACAGGACTATGTAGCACTTTAAAGACTAACAAGATGGTTTATTAGGCGACGAGCTTTCATAGGCCAGATCAAATAGCGGAAGAAAATTGTCTTTAAAGTGCAACATAGTCCTGTTTCATCTAGACATCAGGTACTTGTAAATGAAAGATACCAAATGGATCTGAAGCTGAGCTAGTAATTCCTTCTCTACTCCATTACAGCCTGCCATGATTATCTGTGCCTTACAGCAGGAAACTCATGCCAGGGAATAGAAATGCTGCAAGGACACACACTGTGGAAGGCAAAGGCCAAGCTTTTTAAATATACCTAACTTTAGACATCCAAAAATACCTTATTTCTATACGTAGTTTGGCACTCAGTTCTCATTGACATTCATCAGAATTGTGAGAGCCCAACACCTCTTCAAAAATCACCCCACTTATTAACTTTAGTCATGCCAATTTGAAAATCTTGGCCTAAGAGTTAAATCTCTAAGGCCTTGATCCCATAAATACATATGTATGTGATTAATCTTTTATACATAAATATTCCTACTTAACGCCCAACAGCCATTACATTAAGTACATGGACAGGCCCACTGATGGGGGAAGGGCAAAGGGGCAACTGCCTGAGGGCCCAACAATTCAAAAGGGCCCAGACCCTTTAAAACACTGCTGGAGCCCCACGTGGCATGCTCCAGGAGGTGCTAGCAAGAGAAGGCTAACTCCCAGCCCCGCCCTTGCCATGGGAGGCCCTGCCTCTTCTAGAAGCGACGAGCCTCACCCACCCATCTTGCAAATCTGTTGTTTTGAGCAGGGGATTGGACTAGATGATCTCCTGAGGCCTCGTCCCACCCTAATCTTCTATGGTTCTATGACAGAGCAGAGGCAGTGAAATTTTCAGGGGAAGAAAGGGGAATCAGAAGCAAAAACAGTTTCTTTCTGGCTATCAGAGAGAGACCACAATAAGGAACAAAAATCGCCTCTGACTTCCTTCAAAGTTTCATAAAAAGGCAGGAGATCATCACATGTCACTAGCCTCAGGAAATAAGTCTAGTCATCAGGCACAAAACCAGGCATGGAGAGAAACGCTTCATGACATTCCGTTTGTATGATATGTTTTCAGGGCCCTCCATGGGATATTAAACACTCTGGGCTTTCAGAAATCCACAATAATTGATATCAGGAGAAACGCAACAATTGTTATATTTGACACACTAACCTGTCACATAAAGGTGGTCACCAAGTCACACACCATTTCTCCCCGACGGCAGGAAGAGAAGGTGACCCCTGCTGTTCTTCTTTCTGCAACAGATTGGAGAAGCAAGGAGTTATTCACTAAAGTGTAACTTGCTATCTCTGGGCTGTGTCTAGACTGAATCCCTTTTCCGTAAAAGGGATGCAAATTAGACACATCGCAATTGCAAATGAAGCGGGGATTTAAATCCCCCCTGCTTCATTTGCATAAACATGGCTGCCGCTTTTTTCCGGCTCGGAGCTTTACCGGAAAAAAGCGCCAGTCTAGATGTGGATCTTTCGTAAAATAAAGCCTTTTTCGAAAGATCCCTTAGTCCTCTTTAAATAAGGAAAAGGGATGCAGTCTAGACACAGCTCTGGTGCAATATGTGCATGTGTGTTTAAGATAGGGCTGTAAACATTGTGTAGAATGGAGGGCTTAAGAGAGGCATGGGGTTGATTGCCTTAGAGACTGAAGTCTAGAAAAAGTACACCCTAAGCAACCACAGTACAAGCTTCTTTGTGTACCCCCATACTAATGTGCCTCCACCCTTTCCTAGAGGGATTTGCACAGGAGAAGAAAGTAGTTCAGTCTCCAGGGCCATTCAGACATTTGTTTCTGACCCGACATCAGCCACGCTGGTGGCACCTGAAGTGGATTTCATGGACCACTGAAAATTGGACTCATTTGGGCCCATAACCAACCATTTCATAAAGACCATTGACCATCCATAAGATGGTAGTTGCTTTTGGTCACTACAAACCCAGGCTGGCTTCAAATCATTTGTGTAGCAGTGAAAGTTAATATACTGTCAGTTCTCTGAGCCATCTAGCTCCTCTCCATTTTTCAGGTTTGGCTAGAGACAATGTTACATCTATATGTATTCATAAAATGAAACTTTATTCAGAAATCAAAGAGCAAGGCCTGACGAGTCCCTGAAAATTTATTTCCTCCTCCCCTTTGTCTGATGTTCCCAGACCTTGCGACTTTGAGGGCAAACTGCAAGGTTCATCTATTTACCTAGCTTTTGGGAAGAGGTAGGTGGGGG